TAAAACCAGAGATTTTGCCTGACGGTCCAGCAACCATAGCCAGTGCTGACCTTGAGAGGACCTCATCTGCCGTGAGACGCAGCTCTTTCTATGATGCTCCTCCTCTCACATGTTTCCAATATGGAGCACCAAACCGCCGTTTTACGTCTGAAATGGGGCAGAACGTAATTCCTGCTCATGCTGGAATGTGGAGCACGAAGACCCGGCCGGATGGGACTCCGTCTGACAGACTGAGTGGCCGGTCCCAGACCCTCCCCACGGAAACTCGGCTAATTGAAGACAGCAGGCCCTACTGCATTCCCCCGTTTGTTCTCCAGACTTACCTGCTTGCCATGATGCAGCAGTGGTAGCCACTTCTATCTCTGAACTTAGCAGAGAGACCAATAAAATGCACAGAAAAGTTTATGTTTGAAGTATGTGGCACAGGATGCAGTACAGTACAGTTCCTACAATCAATAATAATTTGCAGATGGCTTATAAATATGTATTTAATTATCATTGACTTTTTAATAATTCCCCAAAAGCAATTCAAAGTGCTTTACATACTGAAGGCAAATAAAAGCATTATATTTACATTCAAAATAAATACAAAAGACAGAAAAAAGGATCACTAGAATCAGCCAAATTATTTGTGTATATAAATATATTTCATTCGATGAGTATAAACTTGGACCTGCTGGGGGCGCTAAAACTACCCGATAAAGAATGAAAAATGGCACATACTGATTACACAAAACTCTATAATTATTCCCAGAAAATACTGAGCTCCGTGTGTTGGTGGTGAGCTAATCTCCCATGGCGAAAGTGTGACCTGGAATTCCCAGTTTTCCAGCCTCTGGGATGCACGCCCGGAGAGGAGTGTCGGGCCAGCGCAGCGCAGACTGGAGCAAGGTTTCCTTGGCAGCAGTTGTGCGTTCTTTCACTTTTCGAGAGAATATGGAAATGCCCTGAAACTGAGCAGCTAATTGGCCACAGAGGCCCCGAGGAATGTCTCGGATTTAGGTGGATTTTTTATTGCTTTTGCATAATCCATCAGCTCACTATGGCACTGGAAAGTGTGATGTATATATATATATATATATCTGTGAGGGCATATGTAGAGTATAGCTTCACTGCAGCCTGGAAACACTGATGCCAGTGACACAGTTTGCTGAATCTGTGTGCACTGAGTTTTAAAAGCCTCACTTTCATGGGGGGAAAAGATGATTTTCACTCCGTACAAAATATACTGTATTATGTTAATGCAACGATGAATCAATATATTCTCTACAGTTGGGCTTTTTGCTGGTATGACTGCTTGAAAATCCTTTATTTGGGGCGTCTTGGTAGTTGTATGGTTAAAATGCATATCACATATCCGCAACATACCCAGTTTGATATAAGTTAGAGACCTTTGCTGCATTGCATACCCTCTCCCTCTTTCTCTTCCATCGTTTGCTGTCTGTGCCTGAACCATCAGCTGTCCAATATCAGTGAAAATGAAAAATAATGAGCCTTATTGGGTTGGCTTTGTCTTGGCTGTACCAGCTTTTGTTGCCCATTATTTATAATTATTTACATTTTGTAGTGTACGTGCGTGTGTGTATATTTTCTTAAATGTAGGAAAAGTTTCAAAACCTGCCGCATGAGACCCATACATGCGAAGTAATTTACTCCCTGCAGTGAATGTTAATTTTATTCCGACACGTCATATTGGCTGCTTCACTGCTATCAGTGGAAAGCAGCTGCTTTGAGGCCTGGAGTGCCGTCATCCATTTCTGTGAGGCTTGCAGTTTCTGGCACAATCTATTCAGTAATTCCATTTATTAGCGTTACGTTACACTGCGACACATGGCTTTAGGAAGAAATATGTCGGTAGTAGATTCTCTGCTGTCGGTGGAGCTGTTTCTATTTGCTGTGATATATAAGACAAGGTTTAGTTTAAGGTTCAATTGGACACCATAACTGCTTTATATAGTACTTTCACATCTTTATTTTCCACTGTCTCCAGTAACGACTTACAGAAGGTAAAGAATCTGCAGACAAAATGGACAACCATGCGACCATTAGAGAGCTGAAGGAGCTGTGGGCAAAAAAAAGAAAAGAAAACGGCACCTCAGACGGGGGGCAGCCAGGCCAAACCGAGCATCCCTTAAAACAGGAGCAGATGTTGTTTAAGGCCAATTAACAGCGGAGAGATGCAGACAACCTTGTGCACCAGAGGAGGGCTGCCAGCCCATATGGATACGAGAGACAATTAATTAGAGTGGCAGACGTTCGAAAAATGGATCAGGCGCCGTGTAAAGTCTCGCTTTAGAACTCCTGGATCCTTAAGATATTAACAGCTTAATATTTGTGGCATTTGTCGATTGTCGTCAATGATTGAATTATAGGGTGCTATACACGAGTACAAATTTAACAATTAATAGTTTTAGTCCTTTTTCAAGCAGAAAGGACACAAAGTTCCAGCTTCTTAAATGTGACGATTTGCTGTTTTTCTTTCTCATATTTAACTGTCGGGACCGTTAAAGACACTAAATAAGCAAATTTAAGACATTTCTGTGGCAAATTATGAATGCTAATTTTCCAAAGCTTTTCGACATTTCACAGACTAAATGATCAAATGATGAATCAAGAAAATAAGTTAGTTGCAGGTCAAGTAAAGTATTATGTATTTATGTGTTTGAAAATGACTATACTATTTATATACTATAAATATCAGCCCCGTTGTTGGTCGTTTGTGCTGCTGGCTGTTGGTTTGACGTACTAGCACCTTCATATTCCAAGTGAAAGCACAGGTTGTGCTGCTTGTTTATGTCTGTAGTGTTTTCCACCACCGCTGATCTGGAGATCTGTTTCTTCTCCGTGGTTCAATCCCACTTAAGTGCAGCCACTCAAATCGGCAAGGATAGCCTCACAAACCCTCCGCTGATCTTTGACAAGTAATCCGGATCGACTCGTGCGAACAGACGGGCACCAGTGTGGAGCTGACGCAGAGGAGCTGCTGCTGTCAGAGAGAGGAAGATGAGACAAAAGTGAGTAAGAGGGTAGATTTAATTTTGGGTCAGAAAGCAATGCCACCACTGAAGAGATGAAAGAAAGAGAGAGGGTTTCCGTCTTTCACCAAGCATCTTTCATCCGTCACGGCACTTGTCTCTTAGCAAAGAGGTGTCATGACAACAGGTGCCAGCCGGGCGAGGACACGTACCCCTGAGAGGGAGATAGAGAAAGAGAGGGAAGCGTGCCGAGGAAGGAAAGGGAGAACAGATGAAACGGAAAAGAGGGGAGAATAATAAGTGGAGGAGGCACCTACAGAAGGTGAAGACGAGGTCAATTACATGAAGTTTCCCTTCTGCTACTTCCTGTTTGTTTTGCGTCAGGTGATGGTGACACTGCCAGTCAGCGGAGAGCCCCGTCCTCTCCTACAGAGAGTCAGTATGTTCACCCGAATGCTTCTATAAGCTCACCCCCCTGGGAGCCGGCCACAAAGATCTGCTCCGCGATTGGGCGTGCGCTGAGGCTCAGCAGGGCGGGGTTAAACCTGCTGGGATGTTTCATATTCATACTCAGCGTGAATACATAATCAGTCCATCAGGTCACTGTGTGCCGTCGGGAGGAAGAGACTCTCTGACTTTGCCGGATGATTCTTGTGTGATCTTGACTTTTTTTTTTTCTTTTTTTGCCCAGTGAAGAAAACTTTGTCATCGGTTTGTCTTCCGCGTGAAGTGAGGTCAGATCCCCGCTGACAGATGCCGGGTTCAGTCAGAGCAGGCGTTTTGGGTTGGCAGGTTTGCAGGGCAGATGATGACCTATGGCTGAGCGCGACGTGCCCCCGGCCGTCAACCCTGATCCCGCTCGGACCTGCCCACACAACAGGCCGCGGGGCTGCAATCTGCTGAGGAGGGGGCCTCCTCTCTCCGAGTTACGGGGCCTGCTCTCGTTGCCATGATCAAACAAGCCAAGAATAAGAATGTCTCCTGGGTAAGTGAGGTGTGTTGGTGGAGTTTTTCTCTTCTACTCATGAACTACTCACTCCTTCTGTATGCGGAGGCTCTTTCTATCTACGCCGTGCTCCTTTTCAAAACTACTGAAAGCGCTGAAAGCGATGTAACATTTTCGCATCGCTATTGATAAGATTTTCTGGTTTAACAGATTATGTAGAGACCATTACAGTATATAGCCATTGGTTTTTGATGATCCTGTGCCCAGTGGCCATTCCAAAGAGAGGCTTAGAGATTTAGCTATTACATAACTACAAGCTACTACATGCCCACTTTATGAAATCTGGTTATCAGTCTGCCAACTCTGCCGAGTTACAAGGAATGCAACTGATGTAGAGTTAAAATTGTAGACAAACTGAAGGCTGAATCTGCAAGAAAATGCATATTTGATTGTTTACGCTCATAATAACAATAGGTAGACTATTATTTTCTGTCATGTTATCCTAGGTTTCCTTTAACGCGTGTGAGTTTGCCATCTGATTCTTTGCCAGTGCAGACGGATCAGGGGAGATTAGAGTGAGAGTGGCTTTGCGAGGATGAAATCAGCTACTTGGGGGGGGGGGGGGGGGGGGGGGGGGGGGGGGGGGGGGGGGGG